ATCACCAGAGCGTGCGCACAGGAGGGGCAAATGCCTCTCAGTGCACAGTGACCATGCCACGTAGCCTCTTTGAGCAGGTGTGAGCCTCTTCACATAATTTTTGACAACTTTCAAGTTAATGTCAATATGTGGGCTCATGCGAACAGTGAACCCATTCTGAGAGGTGGCGGTGGCAGCACTGGTGAGTGGCAGGTGCTGAGGGGGGATGGCAGAGCTCAGAACTAGCCACCCTTTCTGTTACTTAACGTTAGTGACATGACTTTGGGCAAGTGACTTTTCTTCTCTGAGCCCAATTCCCCGGCTGGGGATAGGGTGGGTGTGTAAATAGAATAACTTCTGAGAAAGTGCTCTGTAAACTGTAAAGTTCTTCATATATATCAGGAATCACTGATGTTCCTGCTTAATAAACTGAAACCTGCAAGTCAGGGGTGTTGAATGAATGAAGTTTTGCTATTCATACAGCTAATAATTCACATAGCTAGGACAAAAACCTGTTTGTTTTATTTTTTCTCTTGCTATTTTTTTTTTTTAACCATGTGGTACATGTCTAGAATATACCATCAAATGCTATGTGTCTTATTTTACGAACAGCGAATATAATCGTGAACTAGGTAAAGTATGGTTTGCAATGAGCTTTCACATAGATTGTCTCTATTAATTAACTAATATATGAGGTTTTTTTTTTTTTTTTTTTTTTTTTTGGTGGAGGGGCCTGTGACTATTTTACTTTAAATGAGTAAACTCATGTCTTTATGGGGCTTATTATTAAAAAATATTTTTTAACTGAGAAACAATCATTAGGTTCTGAGTGAAATTAAACTCAGTATTTGTTTTCTCCGTTGTTTCCCTTAGTATTTGCTTATTATCAACAATGCATAGTTGAGCCATACCTCAAATACCCCAAGAAACTGTAGCAGTGAAACCAATTTCAACCCCAAGTGCTTGTACATTTGAGACCCATTTCGCCTTCATTGTTGAAATGAAGAAAATATAGATACTGCTTTCTAGGTGCAGAAAGAGTAAAATGATATTAAACTGAAAGTCCAATGGTTCTATGTAATATGTTTATTCTACTTTCTTGAGTTTTCAGCCATAGCTGCAAAGATTAAAGTGATAGATCTTGGTCATAGCAATATCCTAGATTATTTCAGTCAGACTGTTTAATACAATCTTCTGTTTTGATTTTAAGAGCAAAAATATGCTTTTTTGGATGAGAGTTGTGATGTTTTCCTTTGTGAGTCTTAAATCTTCAGGGACACTAATGAAATGTATATGAAAACAAGAGAGAAATCAGGGCCAGTTATCTGTGACAACCCACCCCTAAATGAGCAAATAAATAAATAAATAGCTGGATAAATGAGCAAAAAGGAAAAAACATAATATCATTTTCTCCAATCGGTTAAAACAAGTGACATGATGAGAAAAAAATGAGACACCAGCAGACCCTGAGCTTTGCCACATTTGCCTAAGCTTGAAAAATCGCCTCTTTCATAAAGCAAGAGCCGGCAGACCCTGCGTGCATACCAAGTATCTGGGAAATGTGGAAAATGACAAATCTTTCACTCAGAGCCTTGAATGGAGGGACAGTGAAGGCTTCACAGCTGCCCCCTCACCTGCTTAGGAACGGCTGCCCCCCCTCCCACGGCCCCCAGCCTCTCACAGGCGGCTCCGCTGTCCCCTGAACAGTAAGATTGATGGTGTTCCGATCACAAGCAGCCAATTTCAGTCTCTCAAGAAATAATCCACTACACTGACAGATGAGTGGAATTTGACGCGATGTTCCCCTCGTTCAGACAGTGCTGCACCAGGATAGCACCAGCCAGCCAGGGTCCTTTAGGGGAAATGGTTAGAGATTTGGGCCAATTTCTGCTGTCATAACATAAAATTGGGACAATGTTTTTGTGAGGCCATGAATTTGTGATCTGTCTTCTCAATGCAGTGGGTTTGTACACAAACAGAATGAGAATATGTTAACTAGAAAACTGACTGATTTTAATGTATTCGCCTGCAGTCCCTAAGTACTTCCTATTTTTCATATTTATGGTATTAGGAATGCACCATTTATTTTCAGTTACTCACTAGTTAAGGAAGATTAAAACAGTCAATCAAATGAAAGTGAATTTTAAAATTACACGAAGGAGTAAAATGTGCTATAGATTAACAGAGTCATAATTTCCATAATTTAATATTTGGCTAGATCAAGTTTTTATTTTGGGAACGATGTAGGAAATTACCATAACAACTTGAAGAGTACTTGTGTCTCTTTTTTATTTTTCATAGGAAAGCTATAGAGAGGACACAATTTTAAAAAGACAGACTAAACAATGAAAATTCAAAAGTGGTGTTCTGTTGTTTCAGGTAATTCAAATAGACAACTTCAATTCTTCATGATCAAGTGTGTTTTTTGTATAACAGGTAAAAAAGGATGAATGGTTTTTGTTAACTTTCTAATTTAGGATCAGTCTTTTTCCCTTAATGGGTATATGAATTATGACAGCAATTTTAATGGTTACTTAATTTTGACTGTGTGGGTGTAGGTGTGTGTAAGAGGGGTGTCCTTGAAATAACAAAATATGGATCATCTCAAAATCCTTTAGCAGGAAAAGATCCTTGGGACTCTTTAGTAATTTAAAATTATATAGACAAATTACAGGAGACAAGAAGTTGTAAGTGCCTAATGAATCATTTATTCTTGAGTCACTGCTATTTTATTAACAGGGGTGTATGGAAATGATGTATAAAAAGATTACTCTGAATAGGCTTGTCTATGTAATATATACTTGACCTGATTTAAAGTGATATTAAGCAAACTATGTATGTTAGAGGTATTCATTTATGACTTAATTATTATACATTGAACATCCATTCTAAAGTGTGTTATTTTTGTTAAAATATTAAAGTGCATTCTTATATGCCTTGAACTTATTTTTACCTTACCATTCAATATTACTTTGTTGAAAGCTGTTTAAAGATGATGCACTGGAATACCAAGGTACATTACAATAAAGGGTTGCTTTATACTTGTAATATAAAAGAAATAGTGAGAACAGCCGTGGTTGCATATTGGGCTTTTAAGAATGTGTACCAGTGCTAGGTTGCTAAGTATAGTGAATTGGCCTGAGGATTAGAGCAGACAGGTTGTTATTTGGTGTAAGCTGGTGCTAGTGATAATCCATTGATCATCTGATTGATGGTATTGACCT